GTCGCGGCTTTTCTCCATCTTCCAACTGCACCCAGTTTGGACTCCGGCGGGGCCCGCTGATCCAAAAGGGCTACCAACCAGGCAACACACGCGAACCCGTCCAAAATCATCCGACGCGGGCACGACTTACGCAAGTGGGAAAAGTGCTCTTCAGTTCCTTTTCTAGGTGGTCTCCATGGGCATCATAATGCATATGAGATCCGGGAAGCTGTTTCCATTGTATGAACAACTGATGCGTTGTGCGGAGCCAAGTCGTGTGGGGTACGCGTTGACGGACGGTTTGGCTCTGTCATTCATTTGCGCCCAGTCTCAGCATCAGTCGTTTGACAGACTCCGACAATCGATTTTTACCCAGGAAAAGAGAGAGGCTAATTCTGAGGACTTGATCTCCACGACACTTAAGAAAAATCCGTAATCTGAAACGCCTAAATCGATCAATAGGTGTTGAACATCGTGGACTGGAAGCTTGCCAACTGATGAGACAGCTCAGACCAGTGTGTGTGGAGTGACTGACTGCTGGCGGGAGAGTCAGGCCCACTCGTCTCCCCACTTGCATTCCTACACAGGGCGGATTGAAGCCACTGATTTCCTCGCGTGAAAATCTAATGTGCCACGCGGGCTGGGCAGGTGAGGCACCCTTACCCAGCTGTATAGTTTGGACGGTGTACCGGCGTCTAGGGAGGAATGATTGGGCGAGGATAAAAAGGTCTCCACGGCACCCTGCGTATATTCCTCATTATAAACAAGCTGATACACTTCATTACTACCAAGGTGTGCTCAAAGACATGACTGGAAGGCTAGCTATCGGGCTTCCTCCCAGGAGGAGGGATAGGGCAGCAACGGCTCCATCTGGATGCAGCCTCTATGCCGCACCCATTCGGCTGAGATCTGAGCCATCCCTTTCTTCTTTGCACAAAGACCACGTAGGCTGTTTGGCCTTGCCACCGATCCCACCCTCTGTCTTCTTGATAAAAGTGGCGAGGAAGGAGAGTATGGTAGGTAGTGTGCAAGTCTACTATCACCATAAACGAATTCAGACGAAATTCGCCATGCCAGTACTCCCCTTGCTGTGAAGCACACGATGAACATCTTCGTTCGCGACAGTTGTGGAGTTGATTTTTATGGTTGGAAGTGAAACGCAGAGTACAATATCCGTATTTGCCTCGTATCTTGATAAGAGTACAGAGGCAAACCACAAGAAGCTGAACATAGGTTTAAAAGGATCAGAACTTTTCACGAAAAATCAAGCTAAGCAGATGGCGAGACCGCACCGAAAGGGAAATGTACCGCCACTGCCACTTGGTCCAAGGCCACCCCTTAAACCACTGTCAGGTGGACCTGCTGTAAGAATGCCGAACGATCTGCACGTCAAATGAGCAACGTGTCAGAGCTATGTCGATCCAACACAACAATTCCCTTAGTAATAGTCCAGTTGAAGTGATCTCAATCACCCAAATAGCACACTTAACAGTTGGATGAAGCATGAGGGCTATGGCGCGCGGAGATGAGAAAGGATACTTAAAAAAGGCGAACGGTGGGAGGATAGCGCAATGGAACTGCAAGTCAGCACTGCGTATAACATGACGTAGACAAACAGACAGATATTCCCTTGAGCTAGGTGCCTAAAATTTTTTATTAGCATGCAGTGGGCTCAGCTAGTCAGGCACAACGTCATCGTAGTGCTAATTACGAGCAAAATAAAGATGTTAAATCTAGCTCCTTAGGACATGAAAAACTAAACGTATAAACTTGAATTTACCTTTATACCGAGGTCATCTGTAACACAAGAAAAATCAACATGGCTCACAGCTCCTCTACTCATGTTTATGTCAACATTTCAGAGATAACGCGGCCCACTTTCTCCGCCCAAGGCAAGATAGCACCGAGCAAAATGACAATGAAAGAAGTAAAACATGGCATGGCGGGAACTAGAATGAGAGGTTATACATCACCCGAGTGCGGCATCCACAATACCGTTATTGCCCAATTGAATGTATATTTGATGCGACGAGTGATCATCTTTGAGATATTTTAAATCTACCGTCCACTTTGCAGGGGCTTTAGTAGACTACATCAACACGGGAAGTATTAATTAGTCACCGATGGGTCCAGTGGGATCCAGATCAGGTTGCTACTCGTAGAAAAGAACACACAATAGAGAAGACAACTACAAACGCGTGTTTTAGTAACCTTGAGAGATATATACAAATGACTGTAAACAGATGTACAAGTAGAATGAAGTACATACTTCTGAGGCTGTAGCATATTCACACGATCAGAAATTAAGATTGAATGTCCAGAGAGGCTTTTAAAGTGAAAGATAATAGTTTTCAGAATGTATCTCAGAAGAGCTAAAATTAGGGAGGACCGATAAATGAAGAAAAATAGGTGTCCACGTCATACGTTTCACAATTGATGACATCAAAATTAAATCAAAAGAGAGTAAATTCATCTCCGTTTGTGAAAGCGCTCAAATTTCCCGAAAATTCCGACCATTTAGTCAAGTATTTTCGACAGTCACATAGATGTTGTCCAAGCAATTCTGTCTGGCGACATATTTTTACCCAAACAAGTTTGTCTCCTAGAGCCCTTTGAGACAAAAGTCCTTCGTTCAAGTGTAACTTAGGATTCGGACGATATTTTTCAAGCTTCTGACAGTGATCCACTTTGTCTTGCAAATAAAAACAATCGATCCGCCTAAATGATAAAATATTAAGTGATAAAAAGTTAACAGACGCGCATGAGCATTCTGTACTCACAACTCGATCGCAAGCGAGTAGGTCTTTAGGTGACAGTCCATTTTGTTGAATTTCAACAATAAGCTCTGCGTAGTTGACCGGGGGAACGGGCTCATTTGACACGTCACGACGGCTAATTTTCCTCCTTTTAAAACGATCTTCTTCATCATCGTCATCGCGGTCAACGTCGTCAACATAGTCCTCGTCTTAAAAAAATGAATAAAGCAGTTTAACCTACATAGCCGAACCGCTCCCATGCCTAAAATAAACAAGACAACAACCTTTTCGTTCATTAGACCAACTATTCAATTGAAGCTACTCTTAGTATTAAAAATGTTCCAAATGCGTAAATAAAGCCAATTTCCGACCCGCGCGTGAATTTATGTCCGAATTAAATGATCGAATTCATTAATTAAAAGAAGCATAATGTTACGGAATATGCCGAAGTCCACCGTATAAGAAATTCATTAACGTATTCGAGACATCGAGATTATTTGAGGCATCTAGTAAGAATTAGCAACCAAATAGACCGTGCCTTTTGCACCTGTTCGCGGAGATCAATATGTTTCCGCATTAATATTGTTCAGATTACCGTTCCGTGATTTAATGAATATGTTTTAAGCTTTTAAAGCCTAGAGGGCATTGTCAAAGGGGATTTAGTTTTGATGTACAATAATGACAATAATTTGATCTTTTGTGCCCAAAAAATCTCATGCAATCGCCGCACCTTGCATGCCCAACATTCGCTTAACTGCATGCACTGGTCTGCGCTCGTTCTCTTTCTCTCCCCCGTCCCTCTAGACCGTCTCCACCAAACCCTAATCACCGTGTTACTAGTTTCCTCTTATCTTATCCCATAACCTCTTTTTTATATTACTACGACATACCTGGATGAAATGAAGAACGTATATAACCGCATATTTTACCTTTGACTCTGATTTTATATAAATGTAATGGCCCGAAGGGAATTTATCGAAATCATATATATGCTCGCTAATTAATTTTCTGAATCCTTCAAATTTGATTGAAGAACATCAAGTGACAATGGTCTGATTAGTTTTGAAGGAGAAACATCTATTTTTCATGGGAGCATAAATATGCGAGAAATGGCGCCAAAATATTCTATGTTACAGTGAGTTAATGGTTATATGACGGAGTCGTCCACTGCCCGATGTCTCTTCACCGTTACCTGAGTCGAATTTGTGAGTTTAGACACATGAACCTAGAATACTCCAAGGTAGGTTCGATGCTGTCCAACTACTTAGGTCTTCGTGCTTATCCACTTCTTCTAGAAGAGTTCCGTTCACACAATTCCGATTTAGACTACAAATTTTGATTTAGTGAACATCAGTAGCCCATTGCTGGGTAAGACATCCAGTTAATGAAGGTTTTCTTTTAGTTTCTACGCGCAGTCGGAGGAGGCGACAGTCTTCTGGATTTTGATATTATCTGCATACATCGTGGTATCACATTCAAGATTCTCGTTACAGTCGTTTATATAAAACAGGAAAAGAAGTAGGCATAAGACTGTGCATTGCGAAAAATAAATTTTTACTGATACCAATTTGTATTCTGTGGTACTAACAATTACCTTTTTGACACGACAGAGCACTTTTGATCCACTTTACATTTTTTACTTGGATAATATATTAATTCAGTACATATAAGGGAAGTACGTAGAGACTTTGAAGACTCTGTTTATAAATAAATTTTAGCAAAGAATGTTTACATTATAGAGCCGTTGCGGGTCTGCGGACGGCGGCATCGGCTAACCGCGCGAGAGTTAC